CTCCAGGACATGCGACAGAGCATATGCTGAATTCCATGGTAGTCAACAACACCATCATCTCATTCCTAGTGAAGCAGTATGCTGTCCAAACCACAAAGAACATTACATTTATAGGAAGAATAATTTACTTCACTAGAATTTAAATAATTCTTGATATTTTTTTAAGTGAAGAGAGAGAGAGAGAGAAGAAAAAAAGGAACCCTAGAAAACAAATAAAACCAGCATGAGTGGCTGCTTCTATATTTTAGAATAACAACTGAAGCAGTTAGAAGTCCCAATTCTCCTCTTACATACAGAGAAAGGTAAATCAGGATTATTCCACTGATGTCTGTGGAAACAGCGATGTAAAACTGGGATAGCAAGTTTTCTTTTTTTTTTTTCTTTTAAATTTGAAAAAGTAACAGTGTTTTTTCTTTCATTATATGATGCATCACAAAGCAACTCCATAAAACTCATCCCTATCACATATCCTGTTCTACTCACAGTGATAATAAGGATGGAGTTCTATATTTAATGCTTGTGCACTCTAGGATTAATTTAGATCTCTGAATTTACAAGTATAAAAGATGATCTGTTGTAAAGAGCAATTCAATTCTATTTGCATGTACTCTGGGGCAAAATCAATTAGGTCATAAACTGGAACAAAATTTGGTCCATTATTTAAACTTCACTGAAAGATGGAGAGGTGGAGGTGAAAACCTGAATTAGATGTATAGTCTGTAAAACAAAAATTTTGCTGGGATGAAGTGGAAAGAGGAAAATTTGCTTTAGAACTGAAGACCTTGAAAATAAGTTGCTGCCAATTCTAGTTTAATAGAGGAGGGGAGTTGAAAGATATAGTATTTGCCACTGAGCTACAGACTTGCATTTTATCTAATTATACCTCATAAATAAGCTATCATACTATGAGCTTCTGCAGGAGGAAAAAAGAAACCGAAACAAAAAAAATCCCCACAACAATCACACAGTTTGCTGTGAGGGAACGGATAAGCCTTTTTATTCCTACTGAATCAGTTGCTGGCATTACAGGTGAAACATTCATGGTAATTAGTTGAACCTGTGCTTCAACCCCCCCAGAGTTTAGATGTATTCCTTAAGGACAATCTGTAATGTATGGGAGGAGCTGTCAAACTTAAACTTTAGGTCCCCCTAGTCCCTCCCCCTCCCCTCAAAAAAGCATATTTTGGTAGCTAGCATACCTACCCACACATTCCCTACTGCCCTTTTAAAAGAGAGACTTTTAAGACTCTCTGAGTTCAAACAAGACGTTTGAGAGATGCTTAATTGGCCCCACTGGATGGGAAAGCATTAAATCCTGGTCCCCAACACTCATTCAGTGTAGCTTCTTTTTAAATGGCAAGCAGAATCATCTAATTCTATATACAAATCAACTAGCACGATACTGCTTGGTTGAAAGGGTCACCACAATTATGTAAAACATGAGTATTAACTATAATTGGGATAGTTTGCTAATACAATAAAAAGCTCTGAACATGAGAAAAGTTATGCTCACAGCAGTAGCTATCACTTTCTAAAGTAAGAATTCATGGATGAAATGACATGAAAAAGATGGTTATAAAATTTTAATGGAATGATAAAAGGCAAAAGTCAGCCTCTCAGCTGAATTCTTAAAATCCCTATATATCACAATCAGCTCCTTAACTGTAAAATCAATGTGGAGTATAACATGTTGTCAATGTGGTTGTCACTGGAGGGAAGACTGCAAAGTATGACAGCTACACAGCTCAGCCTGACAATGATGAAAATAAAATCATAAAGCTTTTTACATGGATGTAACTGTTTATAGAAGCAAGTACTGAACATAGGAACAGTGGGCATCTTTTTCCTTAAGATTCTTAGCTCATATTTCAAACCATTTCATTACAGTATTAATACTAGAAGGTAGTTTCACTTTGGCAAATGAAATTATCTTTTATGGCAGGCTATTTTGCTCATCTGCTTCAAAGTTCAGACTCGACTTAAAATGAAGACACAAAATTGTCATTAATCTTTTTTAATTCCCTAAGTAGACCCACACATTTGTTTACTTATTGCACAGACTGGGGGAGCAAGGAGCTGTACTTTCATGGATGTATTTCAGGGGAATCTATACTTTCATTAATATACTGAGACATGTACCTGGACTACTGCCCTTTAAAGCTAATGAGAAATACCTGATTTGCTGGGAAACTCTCTCACTAAGCAGAATAGAAATTCTGTGCCTTTTATTCTTGAATCATTTACTCTTTTCAGGAACACGGACAATGAAATTATACATATTAACAAAATGCGGTGTCTTTCATATACTACCAACTGTATCCTGCAGAAAATCCAAATTGTGTAGCTCTCGGCACAAGGAACTACAGGAACCTTTTATCACATCAGATCACAGAAGTCATTAAGCTGCTCATTCAATGACATGTGGTCCATACAAACGCCTTCAAATAAGTATTAAGAACTGTCTTCAGACTATTCAGACTTTTTGTCCCCTACAGCTCCAAATGCACACTGGTTCCAGAACCTCAGCCTACCAGTTAAGAAACTTCTATTTGCTAATCTATAGGCATGCATGGGCAGCTTGTACTATTTATCATACAATCAGCATATTGTATGTGCCATGATACTACTTCAGCTTAATTTGGTCTTCTGTCCTTTTGCTGTTCACCCTGTTATGTAATGCACATGACTTCCTTTTCCCTTTACCACCTCACCAGGCTTTGTCTTCTCTTGCTTCAGTTTCCATTTATCTTTCCTGAGTACACATGGCCACATTCATGGCAACTAACAGTGGATTAGCTGGTATGCCTAAACTATATGGACCTAAGGTACATAGCTAAAGTAGGAGACCTGTGTTCTCTGACAACAAATATAATCAGCAAAGAAAGCAAGCACTTCCAAAAGCTGCGAACTGTATCATCTACCTGCTTGTCCTGCATTGCCTCTCTCTATTGTTTGCATTGGGAAGCTTTAAAAGAATAGGTGTCATCCTGGAACCAAAGACTTGCAGTAAGCATGCCAGAGAAGCACATCATAGCACTCTATATGATAGGAAAAATGTTTCCTTGTTTTGTCAAGAAATAGCTCAGCTGATACATTGCAGGAGCTCTCTCTCTCTCTTTTTTTTTTTTTTTTTATTT